CAAAGGAAATAGCCCAAGATCATGCAAGGGAACACAGAGCTGGGTCTGACTCAGCTGCCTCTTCCACGTGCAGAGATTCATCCTTCTTCATCTTTGTAGATGAGGCAACTGTTCACTTTCTACATTTCACTGTAGAAGGAGCAAATTGTTCTGGTTTCACCCAAATGGTGATGAACTTTGGCTCTAGCATAGCCAGAGCTGGTCAGCATTAGAACACCCATGTGTTCCTTCATATCTTCCTAAATACTGAGCAGGGAGCATTTATTAGGGGATACTTTTACGGGGGATATTTATTTCAGCTCCAAGTTTAACTCCCTGCACAAGAACAGCAGCGAGTTCAGAGTGACAGCTTTCACCCCCTTCCCAGGAGGAGAGCAGGGGAGGGAACCTCCCAGCATGTTTTTGTATTTTAATCCTTTCAAACGGCCTGAAACCCCAAATCAAAGCAACCTCAAATGCACAGTGCTCTATTCCCCTTGGACATCACTTCCTGATTTCACAGGTTGGGCAGCTGGAGTTAATAAATGGTTCTACTACTCTGTTCCCTTCCCTGCTTGTTTTTGGAAGAATTACATATTTGCCTGCTCGGAGTGCAGTGGATCCAGAATCCCTGTTTATCCTCTGACTGTTATCACAGGGCTTGTCTCCTGGTGCTCTCCTTTCTCCTGTGCTTCCCCACCCTGGCCTGCAGTGAAGGTTAAAGGCAAATAGGAAGGGATTTCTAGGAAATGTTACCTTTTTTTGCCCAGGTCTGGATTTCAGGCGCTGTGAACTGAAATCAGGATATCTGGGCAGTAAACAAAGGCTCATGGAAAACATGATGGTCTTGTAAAAACTGCACAGAACCTCTACAAGCACGACAAGCACTTCATTTAAAAAATGATGGAGCGGACCTAAAACTTTTTAGAAAATTCCAACTTAAGTTTCCACCAGTTTTAATTTATTTTTTTCCTGTGGAGCGAGAAGCAAATACCACTGGAAGCCAAATATGAAGCCAGGAATTCAAACAAGTGATGCTGCCCAGAAAAGCTGCATGAACATAATCAGGAGGAATTTAACTTTTGGTCAGATACCTAATAAATACTAGATATTATTAACTTTTAATTAGATATTTAATTAAGCCATTAGATAATGACCAAAAAGGTAAAGCAAGAGATAATCCTCTGCAAGACCTGAGGTACAAAACCTCATGCTCAGAAGACAAAATAAACCCATCAGGAGTTTATCTGGAGGCAGCAGTGTTTGAGAAGCTCTAAACCAGTTCAGAGCATCCCCTGTAAAACTGGGTGTCTCTGGAAGTGTTTGCCTCCTGAGAACTCATTAAACACACCCAAACTTCTTGCTCTCCAGGAACTCCCTGCCCAGGTGTTGCAGTAACTTCCACTGAGTCCTGTGCTCTCCCAAAGGTTGTCCCGGACAGGTACATCCCATATAACCCCTTCCTTTATTCACCAACTAGGGGAATTCCTATTTGGCACCTCCTCAGACTTATTTCCCTCTAATAAAAAATTAACTTGTTGCGATCTGGTTGAAGGTGTCCCTGCTCATTGCAGGGGGGGTGGACTAGATGTGATTATATTATATTATATTATATTATATATTATATATTATATGAGTTGATGATTCTAACTCCTAAAATCTCTGGGAGCACAGTCAGCAGCCTCTCCATGCTGGCTACGAAGGAAGCAATGAACGCTGCATCTCCCACTTCCCAGAGGAGTCACAGGTTTTCCAGGAGCCAAGGATTAATCCCTGCACGTGGGGAGTGCAGAGGTGAATGTGCTCTTTTCTGTACCCTTCTGTTTAGCAGTGATTGCAGTTACTTTGTTTGCATCTGGCCCCCTGATAACGGCAGGACAGATTTGCACTGACTCCACTCCTCAACACACAAACTTTAAAACAAGTTGTTTTCCTACTCCCAACTTGAAAATAACAACTCCAAGCCTGCCCTTTATCAAAGTTCAACGCTTTAACTCTTACTGAGAAGTGAAACTTGGTGGGTTTTTTTGTTTTGTTTTGTTTTTTTTTTTTTCATTTAGTAATATCAGCAAAGAAGAAGGAGGAGAGTGGAGGGAGTGATAATCATCTGGGAAGACCCAGTGATCAATCTGCAGCTCTTCACCTGCAGCCAAAAGTACATCCGTGGTGAGAATCAAAATTCACGCACACCCAGAAAAGCTGGATAGTTTTGCTCCTTTGCCTCTTAAACATTTTGCTGTGAAGCTTAAAATTTGTCAGAGAACGTGAGCTGGAAGGTGCAGCTCCCCTGCACTCAGTGTAACACTGAATTAAACAATCAGGAAAAAAAAATTGATCACCCAACAGAAGCCCTGCATGAAAACGCCCCAAGGAGAATATTTCTATTTCTAAATCAATTTTCCCTTAAAAAAATAATAATAAAAAAAAGAGAAATATGAGACTCCTTACCTGATACTGTGTTTTCCATCAGGACTAGGTGCCCCCCAGCTCTGAGGTGTCCGAGCTCCTGGTCCCTTTGCAGCCCCGGCGAGGGCTCAGCGCCGTAGCCCAGCCCGATGGCCATGCCCCTCTCCAGACGTCACAGCCCCATCCCAGGGGTGTGAACGCTCCCAAAACTTCTGGAGTGATGACCCAGCCATGAAGCAATCCCTACAACCTGCTGGCCCGGAGCCTGGAGATGTTTACACACCAGAGTTTGCAGGATTTAATACAACTCGTGCGTCGTGTGCGATACAGCAGCAGCGTTTCCACCAGGCAGGAGAGTTGGGGTGAACAGGAGCTCCTGAGTGCTGGCAAAGCCACCTCCTCACTGCCCCAGCTTCTCCAGAGAGAAAATTCTGCTGCTTTCTCCCCATCTTGCTCAAAGCCTGACTCAGCAAACGCTCCTTCCTCTGCCGAGGTGAATCCTGCGT